TTGACAGTACTTTTATAGTCACTTGCTGCTGGGAGCCATAGATCTTAGGTTGTGTTGGCCACTTTAAAGATAATACTAGAAAACATTTTATATGAACTGATTCAAATGGTTGCAAGAGGTTTTCCAACTGTGAAACATAACTAAAGATCTTAATAACAGGCTGCACAAACAACCAATGGGGTCCTTGTTTGGGGAGGTCAGAAACTGGTACTTAAGTGCTGCATCACATGACCAAATGAGTGTTTATCTACGTCTAAAAATTGCCTTTAATAAATAAACAATATAGCACAATATAGTTTTGAGTGCTGACTACTAAAAATGTCAGTGTCCAGCTATTTCAAGAAATAATTTAGAGGTTTAAAATTTAACATCCTCAGAAGGAACAAATGCATTTTGTGCCAGGAAAGTCCACAAATACTAAAAGACATTTTTTGTTTTTTATTTGAGATTTGTTTATGACACAAAATATTTTCCCCTACCTTAATGTCTTACTGAGAGTTTAGCATTTCTGAAAGTTTATTTTTATGGCTAAAAAAAAAATTCCAATACAAATGTGTTTTGATGTAATTACTTTAAATAATTGCACAATGGAATAGGTGCATCACACACATCCCGAACATCAATGGATCCTCTCAGTTGAAAAGGACCAAAAGCTATAGACAAAAATAAACACTTCAGATTTAAATATGGCAACAAAGACAAAAATGCCTCTAAGTGCTTCAATTGAATTCAAATGTTTTGGAGGCCACAACAAGGTCTACTGTCTTGCGCAGAACTTTTCTCTGTGGGTCAATATGTACTGTGTATCTTACCTGACAGTGCTGATTTTAACAGAATTTTAGGGGGGAAATCTGTAGTATATTTAGTGAGTTTCTGATGCAAAACAACAACAAACACAGACAAAAGGCCAACATAACATCACTGTGTCGTTCTCACAAAAACTATTTTGCATCTCCTCTGTCAATCAGAGCTCTGAGCTGTTCGTTGCCCCAGGCTCATTTGGATCAAGGTCTTTGATGTTGGCCTGCTCCGGGACATCACAGTCGAGCCACAGCCTGTGGGCAGCAGCACAGCTAGTGCACACTGCGCCTGTGATTTACCTGGACCCAGACTCCCTGTGGGATTGTAGAAACTACAGGGGGTGGTAGAAGAAGTGTGGTGTGTCCGCATGGTCAAACTCATGCTCATTAATACATACAACTAATGAATGTTGATTGACAAAGGAAAACAATTGTGAGAAGTTAAAAAAAAAAAAAAAACTTGCCAAGGTGTTTCTATAAAATGACAATTATATAGAAATGCTTCCTAGCGCTGTAGTACTGACAACACGTCTTTTTGTGCATTTTTTGCGATGTTCAAAGAGGTTCAAGCTTAGCTAACACTTGTTGTAAAGAATAGCCTTAAAAAGGCTGAAACCTACTGGTTATTATAATCAGTGTTGGGGAGTAACGGAATACATGTA